AAATTAACCTATTTATACTAATCTACATTCTGCCTTGTGGTGTTACCTCATCTCCATATTGGCCATCCTGCTTCCTCTGAGTCTGGCTGGCAACTCTGCCTTTCTTCAGCTCAGAGTTTTCTCTGTTCCTGGAAGTCCCACCTAACCTCTTCCTGCCTAGCTTTTGGCCATTCAACTCTTTAATACAATCACAACAATTATACTAGTCACAGAAACACAACTTTACACAGTGTACAAATATCTGAAAACATTTCCCCCTTTTGTCTAAATAAGGAAAAGGTTTAATTCTAACATAGTAAAACTGTATACAATAAGAACAATTATCAAGTAAGGATCACAATCACAATGTCCAGTCCATTTGCATTTGGCAAATTTGGAGAAAATACTCTATTATCTGTCTTATCTTGATGAATCGAAAGTTTTATACCTAAACCATTTTTTATGATAACTTGTATTACCATGCTAAAAATATCTTTTTAGACCTTAAAATATCTTAAGTAAATAACTAAAGTAGTTTTTTCAACCTTATAAACTTTACATCTTTTATGTATTTTTTTTCTGAATTTGCTAACAAGAAAAACTGTATAACAATCTAGTCTTCAATCCCCATCAAAGATCTAAGAAGGATAAAATATTACTTGAGTAAACAGGAAGTTCAAAGCAAATAACTTTCAAAACTATATAAATGAAAAAACAGCTGGCCTTCTGGACAGTCACCCAAGTTTCCTCTGCAACAGTGAGGCATTTCTGTAAAGCAGGGATTTTGAAGGACTGTCCTACCTTGTCTTGGTAAAGTTGACAGTTGCCTTCCTCAGTGTCCTGCTTGTCCACTTTGGACAGCACACTGTTATCAGTAGAGACGAGGGCAGTTTTTTACCCAGTGACAAACTTTGTCACAGTGAAAGAAACTCCACATTGAGGTTCTTCAATGCCCATCATCCTTTCATTCATGCTGCCAGAAGCAGACATGCCTCACTGTCATGAAAACCTTACGCTATTAAAACATCTTAAATGCCATATTCTGTAGGTCTGGGAAGTGTTTGAAGATCATCTGTCTATCTGAAATATATCTGTTTGACCTTAAAAACATACCTAACGTGGTCACAATTTTGACTGTTAGATAACTGACTACTAACCTATATTTCTTAATTATCCTAAATAGTTTGTAATAATAATTTTAAGGAACAGGAATTTACATTACATCATTAAATGAGCTGCATAGGTACTATATCTCAAATAAGAATAGAAACATATATACAGTATAACAAAAATAACCTTAAATTTGTATCAAAATACAAAAATCCATACTAATGCAAAACTCTGAGATTAGTAGTTGCTTTTTAGTTTGTCCTATCCTTTATCCTGTCCTTTCTATATCCCTCCCTTTTATTTTCAGAAAGAGATATTTGAATCTAATTCCCTTTGCTTAGCCTTGTCCCTGAGCATGACCAACAACAATTTGTAACCACCCCTGCCCTAAATGACATAATCCATTGAACAACCAAAAACTATCAACTCCAAATCTTGGGAATCTGGTATCATGTTCTCTAGATACTGTTGCTGTTGTCTGGGGATGGCAGCATCTCCAGGGGACCCTGGGAAATTTGAGATAATGGTCAAGAACGGGGAGAGCTTGCTGTGTCATTGGTTTTCTGTGTAATGGAAAAGTGCTGGACTTATCTGAAGTCCTGGCTGAAGTAGTGTGTGAGGCTGAACTATCTCAGCTAACAGCCTTGAAGTTGTTCTGGATGCAGAATTTTGAGGAAACTACAACACAGGCATTCTGAGAGGCTGGCCATCTGGACTACTCGTCCTCATTTGTGTCTGGTCCTTTTTTTTCTAAAAATACATGAACTTTTAAAGGTAACATATGTATTTGTACTTACACAAGTATGGAATGTGCAATATGCACACATTAGCTAAAGATGATTTTTTTTTTGCTTGTTTTATGTCTGAGCAGGTAAAAGGCATCTGTAAACTTTATAAGTCTGTTTGGACTATATAACCAAGTTATAATATAAATCTCTATCCATGCCATATGAAAGGATGGCATATAGTAATAAGTCATGAGGACACTGTAGCCAACAAGATTTATCATGTCTTATCCAGTCTCTGAGCTGTTCCCTTGTAGAGGGGTTTGCATATACAACACCTGTCTTGTAGTTTTTCTTCATGTCTATAGCCAAGATTTTCAGGTCTCCCTCGATACTATCTGATCTTCATTAATTTTGAAGAGATCCGTAGCTTTTTGTTTCCTGTGGAAGCAAAGTCATAACCTTACCCCCAATGCAACATATTTCCTGACTTCCATTCTGAAGTTGAGACATTTTAAGTGTGTGTGTGTGTGTGTGTGTGTGTGTGTGTGTGTATTGGTTTAATTTAGCAGTTTCCATGAATCAATGTCTCTCGGCAGCTATTGGTTTTTGTTCATTAGAATAAAAAAAATTCAGAGTCAACAAAGCACCATACAGGTTCCAGATACCCTGTGAATTTTCTACCTTTTCAAGGTTTTTCCTTTTATATTACTTTACTTTCTCTTTAAATACTTTACTACTTTTTTTTTTTTTTTTTTTTTTTTTTTTTTGGTTTTTTGAGACAGGGTTTCTCTGTAGCTTTGGAGGCTGTCCTGGAACTAGCTCTTGTAGACTAGGCTGGCCTCGAACTCAGAGATCCGCCTGCCTCTGCCTCCCGAGTGCTGGGATTAAAGGCGTGCGCCACCAACGCCCGGCTACTTTACTACTTTTAAACTATTTATTTTTAAATAACTGTCTATTTTTCTTTTCTTCCTTTAGCATCTAAAAACATTTTTAAGCATAGCATATCTGTTCAGAGGTTTTCTTAGTCTGGACCTGACTTTCTGCAAGTCTTCAGTGTTTTTCTTACCACATGAGCCAAAACCAGTGTGAGTGTGGCTCTGCTAACACATGTTGCTTGCTGGAAGCTGGTTGGTGAGCAAGTCTCATGCCTGTGGGCCCCAGAATGGAGCTGCATCTATCTGCTCCAGCCCTGGGAAGTTTTTGGGCGTACACTGCAGCAGGCATTTCTACCTAGTCTCCCATCAGAGTAGTGCTGGCTGCTCATAGCAGGGCCACTTAAAGGAGTTGTGCCCTGAGACCATGGTTGCCAGGAAGCCACCATCTACTCGGAGTTCAGAACTCTTTTTTTCAGGCCCTGTGTGGATTTACTTGCTGCATGTTGGGCACCAAATGTAGCAAACTTTCATAGTGGACTATCTTTGGATACCCAGCTCCCAAACAATGATATGGAGACTTATCATTAATTATTAAAGCTTGGCCATTAGCTTAGGCCTTTCCCCAACCAGCTCTTATAGATTAAATTAACCCATTTCTATCAATCTGCATTGTGCCACGTGGCATTACCTCATCTCATCCTGCCCATCCTGCTTCCTCTGTGGCTGTCTGGCAACTCTGCCTTTCTTCTTCCCAGAGTTCTTCCAGGGACACGTGGAAGTCCTACCTAACCTCAACCTGCCAGAGAGTACCTGAGTTGCCGTTACACCTGATGGACATCTATGGCCTTTGGTTCCACTGGTTCCTCGTACTGAGTTCTTGTCACCTTGTAGCATTTGCATCTGCCTTGGAAAATATTTTGGAATAAGTCAATAACAACTTCAAGAAAAAAGTCTACACACTTCACAGTTTCTTCTTTTGACATGAATGTGTAAATTGAATTCCCTCCCAAGCTAAAAGAAAAAGGGTTGGTTTCCCCAAAATGTTTTCATTGGCTTTAGAAAATTAAAACACATCAATGTTTGGGTGACTAATACTTCCTGTAAAATAAAGATAGAGCAACACATAATTAAGTTCTGGCTCAAATATAATTGTTGTCTTGGAAACAGTTTTGGATATGAATATAGTTATGTTAATCTCCCTGATTCCTAACAATGATCCAGTTGATTAATTAGGCCAGGCTACTCATTTAAAAGGGTTAAGAAACAAACGAACAGAAAACCCCACAAAAAGAATTTCCGGAGAGAACACTGAGGGAAGCAAAAAAAGGATAAATCTTGGGTTAGTTGTTTGTTAGTGATTCTAAGTATTCTCGTTGGAGGTGTAGGCGATAACTGCCTTTTTGGATTATTTGTGGATTTCAAAGATCCTGTCGCACTAGGCAGGAAACAGGGGACGAGGCAGAATACCCAACAGTGGGAAGGATCCCCGCCACTGCTTCTTGGGTGCAACATCCCAGTGTTTTCTCGGTCCAGAGCCCAGTTTGCCAGCAGTTTTGTAGGAAGTTCCACTTAAAGCACAGCCCTTAGGGGCGCCTGCAGGCGCTAAAGGGGTTGGCTGGGGCCAAGTGTGAACTCCAGGCGTGAGAGCGCATCTCAGTTTAGCCCTCACTCGCTCCGCCGTGCGTGCGAGTGTGTGCGCGGGTGCCCGTGTGTGTGTGTGTGTGTGTATGTGTGTGTGTGCGTGTGGGGAGGTGTGCGCCAAAGGGGTGGGGTGAGGGGGAGGGAGCAGGGCCCTAGGTGAAGCACGAGGAGAGGGGGGTCGCCCGCTCCCGCCTCTCCCTCGGGGGCACCAGCGGCTGCCTGCCGCTCGGTCACCTCTCGGTGACGCCACAGGCCCCGCGACCCCTCGGCTCGTCGGCCGCACTCCCCGCCGCGGGGACAGGGATGGCGCGGCAGTGACGGTCGCCTCCTCCCCCCGGGACTCCTCCGCCCTGCCCGGGGCTCGCGGACTCGCGGCACCGCCCCGACCTGCAGGCGCGGGCCGGGTCACCGCAGCCTGAGGCCCTCGGCGTCCCCGAGGCAGTGCCCTGCCGCGCTAGAGGACGACGACGACGACGAGGAGGAGGAGGAGCCGGCTGCCCGCGCGCTGCGGCCCGGGAGCACGGGCTCCCCGGAGGGAGCTTGGGGCGTCCCGGCCCCGGAGGAGGGACCCGGAAGCAGAAGCGCAGCCGCGAGTGGAGGCGAGCCGCTGCCCGCGCTGCCCGGCGCCGGCTGGGGGTCCCGGCGGCTGGATGGGCGGCGGCGGCGCGGGCCGCGGGCGGCGATGGGCGAGGAGCAGAGCACGGTGAGCGGCGGCGGCGGGCCCTGGGAGGCGCGGGTCCCTGCCGGGGGCTCAGCGGGCCAGCCCGAGTCCCCCAGGCCGCGAGGGGACCGCGCCGGGGCTCCCGGGCCGCGCGCCTCCGCCGCCGCCTCCTCCTCCTCGGAGGCGAGCAGTGGCGGCTGCGGAAGAGACCCGGGCTGCGTGGACGCGAGCGCCCAGGAACCTGCGAGCAATCGGGCCACGGCGGGGCCGCCCACGGGACTGCCACTCACCGGGCCCCTCGACCCCCAGAGTTTGGAACTGCAGCTGGAGCGCGAGGCCGAGGGAGCGGGGCCACGGGAGGCGACCCCCGGTCAGCAGCCCCCCGACGGGCTGCTCCTGGACGTGCTCGCCCAGCGACACCCGCCCCCCGCCAAGCCGCAAGTCTTCTGCTCCGTGTACTGCGTGGAGAGCGACCTGCCCGAGGCCCCCGCCGCCGAGTCATTGTCGCCGCCGGAGTCCCCACCTCGAGCACCGCCGGGGCCGATTCCCGCCAGCCCGCCTCCCTCCTTCCCCAGCTCTCCCTTGTCGCTCCCGGCTGACCCCCTCTCCCTCGACGGCGGCAGCATCGAGCTGGAGTTCTACCTGGCTCCGGAGCCCTTCTCCGTGCCTGGCCTATTAGGAGCTCCACCCTACTCTGGCCTGGGCGGGGTAGGGGACCCCTACGCGCCCCTCATGGTGCTGATGTGCCGGGTGTGCCTGGAAGACAAGCCCATCAAGCCCCTGCCCTGCTGCAAGAAGGCGGTGTGTGAGGAGTGCCTCAAAATCTACCTGAGCTCCCAGGTAACTTCCACTGCCCTCTGCCCACTCAGCCCATTCACCATGCCAAAGCACCAGGGTGGAGGTTCCGCTCTAAGCTCCCTAGCAAGAGAAGAGGTGACCGGGCCCGCTTCCCCAGGCCCTCTAGCAATTACTGCCGTCGTACTTGTTATTAAGTGTGTTTTTGCCCACACTGGTTTATTGGCTGGTTAACTCTGCCTTGAGCTTCAGGTTTTGGTTGGCAACTGCGGGAGGAATGAGGCGGATTGCCCTCTGATTATTTCTTCTGTGGCTTGCATGCAAGAGCTTGCTCTGAGGAGAGCAGAGAGACGGCCTCACTGGCCTGGCATCCCAGAAACTAACAGACAGTGAGCATAAAATAAATATTTGTGGTGCTGGTGAAGAGAAGGGTTGAGATAAGTATGTCAGGGCTGTGATTCCTGTATTTTAACCGAGTTCCCTCTATATATCGAAAGAAGTGTGAATTAAAAAAAATTAACTCTTGCCCACTTGTCAGCTTCTTACACTAAAGTTAAAGTCCTTTTCTCTGCTAAATTTTAAGCCAGCACAGTGCTTTTATTTCCTCAAGAGAGAAACAAAACAGAAAGAGCCCAACAAAGCCAACAGGGAGCAAGGAGAGGTTTCAACCCAACAGTCTGCCCGCGGAACTTTCCTCCCCTCCACCCTCCTTCGGAGAGCCTGTTGGTTTTTTTTTTTTTTTTCTTGGAAAGCTTGAGAAACATAGCAGCCCTCCTTCATGGTTTTTCAGTCTGTCGCGTTTCTGCCAGTGTTTTGCACAATCCTGAATGCCCTTTGATCCCATGTCTGATTGTCCTGGGCCTATTCATCTTTCAAAACCCTGTCTGTTCGGGTGCCAACTCTTCGGTGACGCTTTACCTCATCCTCCAGGCCCCTGCTCAGATGTTTTTAAAATTCGTCTTCAAATCTTTCCTGCCCTGAAATTGTTCCCTTCCTGCCTGCTTGTCTTGCTAGACTGTCTGGATGTCTGAATTGGGGAGTTTTCAGACGAGAGGTTGCACAGACTGGCTGAAGTGAATTTGACCCGGCTCTGAACAGTGTGGTTCCTGTAGGTTTTGTGGCCTCTCCATTGCTGGGGTCTAGTCTGGAAGTGTGTACCATGCCCAACTGAAAATGCAGGGAGAGAGACTTAGAAAGACTGGAATGTTACACAAACAGGAGCTTGGCCCAAATGACTGAGATTATTCAAACGCTCGGGAGAGACTGTGGTGTCTGTTTTTAGGATTTATCCGCTGATGGAGATTTAAGGCGGGAGGAGTGAGGCTGCTTGTTTGTGGTGGTTTCTATGACATCACCCTTGGTAGAGATAGTGCTGCTGTCGTGTGCAGAGCCTTGTGGTGGGACTCCGACACCCCCCAAATATGGGCCTTGCTCCAGAGACGTCATTGTGAGAGCAAATGTGTTCAAAAAATAGTACACAGTAGCATCTAATGAGAGGTAAACACGAATACCAAGTCACGCTTAGCTGTTTACAGTCAGGATCTTGCTGTGTAGCTTGGTCTGGCCATGAGCTGGCTAAGTACCCCAGATTGGCCTTGAATTTTTAATCCTAAAGCTCCTACTTCCTTAGTTCTGAGATTAACATCGTGGTCCTACTATGTCCAGTTCTATCCCTTACCTACTAAGTGCTGGATATAACCACCAGCTCAAGGTTGGGTACTCCTGGAGGGCTATACCGCCCAGCAGTTTGATTTCCTTCCACTGGGCCCTTGTGCCAAAGCAATTTTCTCTGCTTCTTGTCAGCAAAAGTTAGTTTTAGGAAGTTGGTGTTTTCAGTGGTAACGAGAAGAGGGGAGAAGGAACAAGTGGGGTGAGTAGTCCTGTTTTGCACAAACCAACAACTCCTTTGAGTGTCTGGATCGTGTCTGCCGCCTTTGTAACATCAGTGTGCCTGACCTCCCAAAGCAACTGGCAGGGCTTTCCACAGCAAGAAATCGGCATTATTTCAAATACCCACAGCGCCTGTGAAGTCCAGAATGCCAGGCATGCTTCCACTCGGGCCTTGTGCTCGTGCCCTGTGTCTAGCGGATTCCCCTACCTGTTCCTTTACTTGCGCCATCTGCCACCCCTACCTTTGGAGCCGTGTTAGCTTATCATCCTTTGTGGTCTTCACTGGGCGTCTTTGTATGTGTGCACATGTGTTCATGTATGTGCACGGGTTTGCAGGCCTGTGCACTTGCACGGAGCCCCGAGGAGGACATTGGGTGCTCTGTTCCATCACCGTCCTCCTTATTCCTTTGAGACTTACTGAACCTGAAGCTTGTTGTTTCACATCGGCTGTCTGGCTGAGTTCCCCTGTCTCTGCTCCTCAGTGTTGGGGTTAGAGGCATGGATATGCGCGTTTAGTTAAGGCATTTGAACTTGGGTCTCCGACTTGTGCAGCAGGTTCTTACCAGCTGAGCCACCTCCCCAGTCTCTGCGACCATCTTTTATTAGGTATACAGTGTCCTGCCTGGACCCCAGAAGAGGGCACCAGATCTCATTATAGATGGTTGTGAGCCACCATGTGGTTAGTGGGAATTGAACTCAGGGCCTCTGCAAGAGCAGCCAGTGTGCTCTTAACTTCTGAGCCATCTCTCCAGCCCCATCTGTGATCACCTTTTAAAAGTTGAGCCTTATCTACACACTCTGTGTGTCTCTTCCTGGGTTTTAGCTTTTCTACATAGCACTAATGCATTACTTTGTAGTCGAGTAGTTAATTTATGGGAAGAAAGGAGTTTCCATATGATTCTGTTAATTTCTGCCTATTTAACATATTCCAGATATTTGCTCAGTGGTTACTGAATTTGTAAAGAACCTGAGGTCACCTTAGAAAGCTTGGGTGTCCAATTTTGCTCTGAGCATTGATTTTTTTGGGAGGTGGGTTTCAAGACAGGGTGTCTCTGTATAACAGCCCTGTATGTCCTGGAACTAGTTTTGTAGACCAGGATAGCCTTGAACTCATGGAGCTCTGCCTGCCTCTACCTCTGCAGCCCTGGGATTAAAGGTGTGCTCCACCACCTCAGGGCTTACTCTGAGCATTTTTACATTTAAAACATGAAGACTTAAAGCAGATAACTGAAATAGGCTACATGTGTTATGTTATTAGATCTGAAAGAGTTTAAGCAAACTTTTAGCTTATGCAAATTTAGATCCTTTTCCATTTGGTAGAATACAAGATTGTGGTTGTAATATTTCTGATGTGATCCTAAATTGTAAAATCTGGCCATCTTTATATTCAGATGCCTCTGTTTCCCGGCCATCTGTACCTGAATCTTCTCATTGGTGAAATTTAATTTTAGACAGTGATCTGTGGCGAATCCACCAGTGTTCCAGTAAAGCCATGTCTGTGTGGTTGCTACCTTACTGAACAGGGCAAAAGCTGCTTGGGAGATTGAGGCAGACAGAGCATAAGTTCAAGACTTACTGGAATAACTTTGTGAGTTCAAAGCCAGCCCGGGCAACTTAGTGAGACCCTGTCTCCAGATTTTAAACAAAAGGTGTGTGTGTGTGTGTGTGTGTGTGAGTGTGTGAGTGCGTGAGTGTGTGTGAGTGTGTGTGAGTGAGTGTGTGTGAGTGTGTGTGAGTGAGTGTATGAGTGTGTGAGTGTGAGTGTGAGTGTGAGTGTGTGTGAGTGTGTGAATGTGTGAGTGTGTGAGTATGTGTGTGTAGGTACTGGAAGTATAACTCAGTGGTGAAGTGCTTACTTAGCTTCTGTGCTGCTTTAGGTTTGATCCACAATACCGAAAACAAACACAAACAACAACCATGACAGCAAAAATAGGCAGGGAGATGTTGCTTGCTTTCTCTTTCTCATATGATAAGATTTTTATTTTATTTTATTGAGACAGGGTTTCTTTGTGTAGCCTTGACTGTCTTGGAACTAGTTCTGTAGACCAGACTGGACTCAAACTCACAGAGATCCACCTCCCTCTGCCTCCTGAGTGCTGGGATTAAAGGCGTGCGCCACCACTGCTTGGCCTGATAAGATTTTTGACTTAAGCAAATGTGGCAAGCCTTGACTTCCAGACTGCTCCAAACCTTTGGGGGGAGGGGGCATATATTTAAAGACCTATTAGTGGCATTTTTACATTTGAGTTTGTGCCATCTGCTTGGTGCATTATTTAACATCATTTAAGAATGTAAAGCAAATCAGTATTAAGCATTTTACACAAACATTAAAAATGCATATTAATTGCGAGTTGGAATCATGCCTGGTTGAGTGAACTCTTCTGAGAGGAGTTGCTGTGTTCTTTGACAGAAGACAGGAATTTGGGAGGCAGAAGGACTTTCAGACTTGGAGCAGCGAAGAGTCTTTCAGGGACTGAAGATGTGGCCACGGGTGATGAGTAGGTATCAGCACTATTTCAGTGGAGGCCTCAGCAATTAGACAGTGACAGGATCTCTATGTCGTGATTGGGTAGGGGAATTCTTCTTGGGGGGATGACTTTATAGGGTAGTAGTTCCCATGTGCTTTCTGGTTACTATGGTGAAGAGTCAAGCTGTAGATGCACTGGGCACTGAACATTGTTAATCTGTGTATCTCCATATGGTCTTGGCTTACTGGAGAATGCCTGGATGTCCCTGTAGCTACATGGCATCTCCCTCTTGAATTAACTTTCTGAGTTCCTCTTCCCAGAATTTTCATAGTCTGGTAGCCCTGCCTATACTTCCTGCCTGGCTATATCCTATTTGTCTATTGGCTAAAACAGCTTTATTCATCAACCAATAAGAGAAACATGTTTACAGCATACAGAAGGACACAGAGGGGAAGTTACCTGACTTTATTGCTGAGGTATATGTATGTTTCGTACATACATTTTTAGAAATGCATTTCCCAGTGACTTGCATTGCTTGCATATAGTTCGGATGCCTGCAATGCCTCCCATACCCTAGGTTCTCTTAAATGTCTCCTCAGCATGTTTGGCCTTTGTCACATTCTTCGAAGAAGAAAGATGAGTTGTTGCCATCTTTGCTTTGCAGAAGCCACCCACAAATGCCTTTCC